ATGTGGAATTAATGCCTCGACTGATTATATGCTTCTCTGCGAACTCATTAAAAACCTCACAAAGATCATCTTTTATCACCTCCCAACAATCCTGGTAAAAAGCCATTGTAAAACCATCTGGTCCTGGAGCTTTGGACCTGTCCATCAAAAACACGGTCTTCCTAATCTCTTCTTCCTCAAAGTTTCTTTCCAACCACCTAACCTGATCTTCCTCCAACCTTGACCAATCAATCCCTTGAAATGTTCCACAAACTTCCTAGCAATATCATCCTAGTTAGTGAATTCCTCCCCCCTACCTCTAACTTAGACACAATTTTTTCTCCTCCTTCCATTTTCTACATCATGAAAAAACTTAGTATTCCATCACCTTCCTCAATCCATCAATGCCTCGATTTCTGCCTCCAGCTTATTTCTTCCCTCAGTAAGACCTCTTCTAGGTCCTTCTTCAACTGTCCCCTCAGAACTCTCTACCCCTCCTCCTTTCTAGATTGAGCCTCTCTTTCATCCAACTTTTCTATCCTAGAGATTAGATTCACTTTTTGCTCCTCAAGTCTTCCAAAATGTTCCTTGTTCCAAACTTTTATTTTGGCTCCTATCCTCTGTAGCTTCTTGTGAAATCTTACCCCTTTCCATTTTGTCCCCCTCAATTCCTCATTCCACCAAAATTTTACTTTATTCACAAAATCCGAGTGGATTAGCCACATGTTTTCAAACCTAAAGGGTCTAGGTCCACTGATACAATCTTCCACACCTATTCTTATAGGACAATGATCCGAGGTCACCCTAGGCAAAGTTCTAGACACCAAGTTTCCCCAATAGTTCTCCCAGTCAACATTAAAGATAAATCTATCCAACTTCRRCCAMAARGRCACTTYYTGTAAGTTAGACCAAGTAAATCGAGCTTGCACTAGTGGGATCTCCTTTAACTCACAATCAACAATAAAGCTATTAAACTTTCCCATGCTAGTTGTGATGGTTTGTTGGGAGTTATTAGTTTCTTCAGAAAATCTTATCACATTAAAATCCCCTCCCAAACACAATGGACCTTCCCATAAACCTTGAATTGCATACAGTTCCTCCCACATGTCATTCATTTCTCTATAATTATTGGGACCGTAGACATTAGTTAACACCCAAGTGGAGTCATCCTCTACATTCTTAAATTTGATGGAAACTGAGAATCTCCCTATTAACTCCTCCACTACCTCTACTACATCATCTTTCCAAAGTGTGACAATCCCCCCTGAGGCTCCCTAAGATGGGGCTGAAATCCATCCTACTCCTCTAGACCTCCACACACTCCCCACCCATCTTCTATCCAGCTCTGACAACTTTGTTTCTTGCAACATAACAATGTCAGGCCTTTCCCAACTCTCCCTTCTTCCACCTCTAAGCATACTTTTGTTATACATTCTGGATGGGATGATGGTAAATCTGTTTCAAGCATATCACATTGGTTAGTATCCACAAATAAACTGACAATCATACCTGATTGGATAGGGAGAGCATTCGAGAAGCTAGGACTGGACTATTTGCCAAAGACGACCAAGTCTGGTGTAATTTCCTTACAAGGGAACTTTTGTAAAGTGTTCATGGTAAAGTTAACAGCAACATCTAACTTACTCCCTTGAAGACTCGACTCCAGTACTTCCCTTTCTGGTTCATCCTTATCCAAGTTCAATAGAGAGGGTTGAGTTTTTCCATTTAAACCCCAAGAGCCCTGAGTGATTACGTTGACTTCCTCAGCTTGAGATAGAATGACCTGTTCAGCATTTGCAGCGCCTCCTGTACTTCTTCCTTCCTTGGAATAGTCTGCAACAATCCCCTCTTCTTCTAAGAACAGAACCTCTGTATTCAAGCTTCCTGTTTCTATCAAGTTTTGTCTTGTGCACGGATCGAGACTACCCAGACTCGAGGCTCCATCTCACTCAAAGTCCTCATCACTACTGTTTTCTTCTCCAGGCCAAACACCAGATTCTAGCCTTTCTAACACAGACCACTTGATGCTTCTTGGATTCCGCCTCTCAGGCGATAGCCGATTCAGGTTCTTCGCTGGGATCCACTGCAGGGAGCAGCTTGAGTGTTGACTCTGCCCTCCCTTTCGAGAACGAGCAGAAGAACTTGAGGATGAAGATGATAGATGGTTAACATCGTCTAACAGAGGTTCTTTCCCACTATTCACATGCTGCATTAAGTGATCATGTGACCTCCCTATCACATGTGGACTTAAGTAACCATGTGACCTCCCTGTGGTCACGTGTGGACTTAAGTAACCATGTGACCTTGGCTTCTTAGAAATAAGATTTTCTCTCCCTTGGCCCAGGAGAAATAAGAGGGTCCACAGGCTCAGCATTCTTGTTCGACCCCACCTGAATATTAGGACCACCATTTCGACCCACCCCCAGTTCACCCAGTTTCTTTGTTGGCCCAAAAGAGAGTCACGTTAATTCTTTTCATTTAAACTTAATTTTCACTCTATTTATTGCATTAATGGAGGTATTGTGAAAAGCAACTACTACTAGACCCTCAAAAGGTTCTCCGGGTTACTTCTTCGAGTTGGAAAAAAAAACAATATTCAAAGAACATCTGAAATCTTGAAAAGCCTTCTTATATACTCACTGTGCATGGAGCTTCTTGTTTTCTTGCAGAAGGCTTATGACTTCTGGATCTTGCAATTGGTTATCGATATGATCCTGGGGCTATCAAAAAAGCATATAGGTCAGTAAATGAGATTCCTCTGGTATAACTAAAGAAAGAAGGATAACTCAACCCAAAAGAAAAGAAAGAATGACAGAAATGTAGAAAGGAAAATGCCATACACAAAAGAACAAAATAAAAGGATCTTTTGTTTAGGTTGTCCTACTTGTAACCTAATTGATGGACAATATAATAAAAAAATACAACGCAATCCACAAACAGATAAAATGCACTAAAAGCTTGGTCAAGGATTGAAATATGATCTAACCATACCAAGTAAATGATACAAACAGAGCATCTTAAGCTACCCAACTAGACAAGTACCGTATAACATTATTTGATGGAATTCTGCAAAACTGAAACCAAGAAACCAGGACACAGCTATTGCCTCATCTTACTTTTGCTTGAGGTTTGAGTTTACACAACAAATACTTGTATGTATAGGTATATAAAATACTTTTATCAACAACCTTACAAACGTAATTAAACCAAAAAGCAGAATTATTTATCATGGACTGAAATGACTATTAGTCTTTAATTACTTGCACAATCAGAGTGCAGAAAGGGGGAGAGTTCAAGAGGCTAAAGGATCAGCCTATCCTATTTGCTATCTCCCAACTCCTGAAGGAATGAAAACAATAGCCCATTATACACTAGAAATGAAAATAATATCTATTAAGCTTTACTTTTTTTTTGATCAATATCTATTAAGCTTTACTTGCAAAATCAGAGTGCAGAAAAGGGGAGAGTTAAAGAATCAGCCTATCCTATTTGCTATCTCCCAACTCCTGAAGGAATGAAAACAATAGCCCATTATACACTAGATACAAATAACACAGCTAAATATTATAGTTAAGGAAACCAGTCATCCTATCAAATATAACAGAAATAAGATATTTTAGGCTAATAATAAATGATCTCCTATATGTGGAAATCAGTTTGAATGTAGAACAGCATTCTCATTTTTTTGTTGGAAACAGTAGAACAGCATTCTCATTGCCGACACATAATCAGTTAAGTTTCTCATTGCAAAACCTGTGTTCTGATTGCAGCATCATTCTCATTTGCCCCTGTGCTTATCTGCCTTTTCATCCTTTCTGGTTCTATTGTATGATCATGTTCTTTCCTTTTCATGACTAACCCTGCCCACATTGTAAACAGGATATCACTAATGCTCTGAAAGACTGAAATACACGACACTAAAAAATAAGTAGAATTTACCATGTTGGGTGCTGGTTTGATTGTTGCTAATAGATTCCCTTGATGTGCCTACTGATACTTGGGTTGGAGTTGCTGCAAGATTTTGAAGGGTTCTTCTTCCTGAAGAAGCTACTCTTGGACTGTGAACTGCATAAGACCTCTGGTTCAACATAACAGATTGTGGACCACCATACGTTCCAGAAAGAGGCAACTCCTGGGGAGGCACTGGTGTAGCTGGAGATTTCTTAGTTCGGTGATACCCAATCAACTCACAATGAAAATCCCTGCCAAATTTAATTGTATCTGAATTTTTTTTGTAATAACATTAAAATACTGATATCCAATTGAAAATGAATATTTCGTAATCACAACAAAGAGGCTGCATAGAATAGAAAATTTTAACAGTACCAAGCTATTTACTTGTTTAAGAGTGGTCTTAAATCTTAATTGAAGCATAAAAGTGTTTGATCTCCTATGTTGTTGTGATCAGAAAAAAGATTACCAATACTCAAATGTCATTTCCTTCAAGCGTGTTTCAAGCTTCTGGAAAAGTGTGGTCTTCTCAAAATCTTGTTTATCATGAGTTGGCTCGATAAAATTTGCCTCCAATATGCCTAGCAAAACATTACCAAAACTTTCAGTATGAATCTGGAATATATTCACTTAAAGGAGAGAAACGAACACCTAAAGTTGTATAAAGGACAAGTGCATCAAAGACTTCTCACCAACAACACCTCTGCCTCTACTACCACCAGTTTGACGAACTACACGCCAAAATGGCTGCAAATAGATTTCAACAGAATGATGTAAGAAGAGCTTCACTGTCACACTAAAATGAATCAAAAGAATATTGAATACATGGAGAATTATAATTGCTAAAGGCTTTCGGCACTTCAATTACCTTGACTGTCTTAGAAGATGTGAGGTTTATGCTTTGAAGCTCACCTCAAGGAAAGTCTTAAGGAAAACCACCTGATGTTCAATCTTGAGGCTCATGCCTAATAGTACAAGGCACATGGTGCACACCTTGAGAAGCCTTGTCATGTCAAGAACGTTTTGTACATTAATTTAAGTAGGATTCTCGTCACAAAACCAAATTAAAGACCATTTGAAGTTTTTAACGTGTGATTTGTTTAAACATTTAGGTTTCTAATACTCAAGGTTTTATTTTACATTAAGAGATTACATTAATATCAAAGGTTTTGTTCTTGAAGGATGCTATGTTTGTGCCTTGAATTCTTTGTCATGACTGGCTTCATCACCTACACTGAACCAAGCAACAAGAACCCACTATTTTCTAATGTTGTTCATTCATTCATCCTAGTAAAATACCTTCTTAAAAGACAATTAATATCTTCTTGATGAATAAAAAAAGACGATTAATATTATAAAATCATTTATTTTTGTGTAAGGATTAAGAATTTAAGACCCTAACATGGATTTGTTTGGGTTTGCCTCGAGGAGCTCGGTACAAAGAAAGCTCATAGAATCAGGAATGCAAGATGTTTTACATCACATTGTCTATTTGAAGTAACGTAATTGAGGAAACACAGAGATTGTAGGTTTTACATGTGTGAAAAATGTTTTATATGTTTGCTTTTACTTTTAAATTTTCATTTGAATTAAGCGGGCGCCTAGATACATCTAATAATTTTTTTTTAATTTATTATTTTGATATTTTATTAGATGTTTTATTCTTTTAAAATAAAAGAATAAAACATATGCATAACATAAGCGTTTTTTCGGTTCGATTGGAGAGGGAGGAGAACCGAAGACTTCATGCCCCAGCTTCAGCAGGTAAGTTCTTCTTCTTCCAGCCCAGCTTCAGTCATTTTTTAACCCCTATTCTCCTCCCTTCCTCCACAGCTCCACTCATTCTTCTTCTTCAGCTCCACTCATTCTTCTTCTTCTTCTTCTTCTTCTTCTTCTTCTTTCTAGTTCCTGCACTTTTTTTTCAGTTAATAGTTTTTTTTTCAGTGAATAGTTAGTGTACATGCTTGCTAGTTATATGAAATTTATACTCATTTGAATGATTTATAGAGTGAATAGTTAGTAACATGCTTGCTAGTTGCTATTTAGCACACAAAACCAATAAAACATCTTAGAAAAGCATAGATAAAGTAAAAACTCAAGAAAATTAACATTTTAAAATTCCAACGCCTAGGCACCTGGGCGCCCTGTGGTCGCCTAGCCTCGCCTTGGCACCTTGAAAACTATGTTTGCACCTTGCTTCAAAATATGCACGTGCCTCACCATGTGCCTTGAACCTTGAGCACAATTTGCCCCTTGCACTTTTAAAACACCAGTTCTGTGTGCACAGCTCTGTACTGTTCACCATTGTTGACTCTATAGTGGTTTCTACTCCTCCACCCGTGGATGTAGGCTATATAAGATGAACCATGTAAGTCTGTGTGTTCTCTTTGTTCACTTCTCTTTATCTCTGTTTTTCTTTTTGTTTTTGGGTGCCATTCAAATATGTATTTTTGGGTTGTGCACTACAAAGGATTTATAAGAACACAATTAGTTTAATTAAAGCTCTTGATACTTCTAGGCCCTTGTTTATATGATGATTGATTCCTTCTTATACATAGATATTGTCTTTTATGAGCATGATTTTATAATTTATACTTTGTTCTAATTTTAGTTTGTTTATTTATTTATTTATTTATTTTTCCATTCAAACAACAAGATTTGGCTTTCACCTCACACAATGAATGATCCTAGTGCTTTGCCTCATGTCTCTACCTTCTAAAGATTGCTATGAGAAAAGCAATATAACTAAAGCCACAAACCATTTTCAAAATGAACTCAGCTTGAATTATTGAACTGCATATGTAAACCTGAAAGAAATCATGCACTGGGAAACGATCGAATGGAATAAGATAACAGATAACTGGGACCAAAGGTTGAAACTAATGGAGATGAAAATTCTCCTCAACATAACCAAGGCCAATAAAGTAGGCTAGTAGCCTAACAGATCCAGCAATAGGAGTATTGACACTTCTTATTGGATTGTAAAGGGAATCTAAATTACATAGAAAATTAAATTCCTAAATAAATTCTACATGATGTCCATTCTATAGATGCTACTTTCCATGAAAAACACAAAGGAAAAGAAGTCTGACCACTTATATTAGAGACAATTCTAACCAAAATCAATAATGGGTATTCATGTGGAGAGGACCAAGTAATATACCTAAGGGGAAGGTAATGCAAAAAGCAAGGAGTCTATAGCTTCCATGAAAAACACATCAGAGGAAAAGAAGTCTAACAGCTTATACTAGAGACAATTCTAACCGAAAACAATAATGGGTATTCATGTGGAGAGGACCAAGTAATGTAATCCATAAGGGGAAGGTAATGCAATAAGTAAAGAGCCTCAATGTCAAAGGACTGTTCCCTCAAAACCACTCCACCCACATGAACCACATTGCCAAAACTGGCACACTTTTTCCCGTGGAAATGTTTTTACAAAAAGCTTATTTAAGCTTGAACAATCACAAAGAAGATTGTTTGAACTTTCTGAACCTACCAAGGAAAAAAATAAGGGATAGAAAATGCAACAAATAATGGTTTCAAGATACCTATGCAAAATACAAACTAAATAAAGGAGAGTTCGCCCAGTAAATTCCAAGCAAGAATAGAAATCTTACCAATATAAGACGATTCTTGTGGTATATGTTGAAGCCATGGATATTCACTTGGGGAGCCTCTTTCAGAAATCCTATTGTCGTGACAACTATGGCCTAAAGATTGAAACCAAGAAGCAAGATAATAGTAAATAATGGCAACAAATTAGAAGTTAAAACCTACGTTATCCAGATAACTGTACACGGGTGCCATATCATGTTTGATACTTCAATCATATCCGATACTGTACCCTTGCTGTATCTGGGTAACATAGGTCAAAACTAGAGCAGTTGACTGCATTCCTGTTCTCGCACTTAAAGTTCCCCATTTTGTAATTACAACATTCAAGTGCATAGATCCATTAAGGTTATAGGTATAGCTAACTATCACAGTAAAATTGTATGGTAATTGTACCATAGTATGCCTCCATATACCATCACTCTGTTGCAAAGCATATTTGGTAATCAATTTATGTGTCATTCCAGTCTTTTGGAGGACAACCATGTCACTAGAGGCCATACCCCTACACATATTTTGTTATTCAATGTTTTTGGTCCTAGGACATGGATATTCTGCCTGCCCAAACACAACCATGAATGGCAAAATATTCCTGCTTCCCTATAACTAATAACATATGAAATCTATATTACATGCAGTTACCAATTAGAGGTAGGAAAAAAATCCTAGCTAGATGCACGTCAACTTCCATATCAATATATCATGTATATTATCTATGCATACATCTAATTGGAGCATAACACATACGTTGAAAATGTGAAAATGCAATCATTTCTCCATGTTCAACCATCAGTTCTATTCATGGTTTCAAATGTCGCGAAATGTCGCGAATGTCGCCCGACATATGTCGATGTCGAGGCTCACCGACATGAAAATGGATGATAATATAAAAATTACATTATTTCGGTTGACATTTCCTAATGTCGACCAAATCGGTCCAAATAACAAAAAAAGACAGTTTTTCTTTTTATGTCGACAGAATGTTGACTAATGTACGTTAATAATATAATAAATTAGTACATTATATTATTATAATATATTATATTAATATAAATTATTCCATTAATAATTTCTATTTAATATTTCAAATAAAATATTTATAGAAAAGAATTAATGAAATATAATAACAAAAGAATAAATTAATTACTTTATAATATAAAATATAAAATACTTTTCAAGTAATAAAATAATAACTAGTTAGTATTTTTAAAATATTTATTAAAATCAGAAAATGTTTGTTAAATTTTATAATAAATCATATTCTACATTTAATATAAAAAATCAGAATAARTTTATTAAATTTTATACTAAATCATAATTTATTATAAGTTTAGTATTAAAAATCATAATAAATTCATTAAGTGTTACAAGAAATCAGAATTTATCATAATCTTAATAC